GTCAACCAAGGACGGGGTCTCTGCACGTACAATTGGTACGCGCTGCTGTCGGCTGAATTTTTTCTCAAACCAGCATCTAACGATTGCATTTGAATTACATTCACCGTACCAACCTAGTGGGACCAATTGAAGAGAGTTGGGAGGAGCTACTCCAACTTTTAATACAGAAAGTTCAAGGAGGATGAATCACACTCTTCTCCATTACGAAAAGGCGTACTTCTTCTCAATGGGAGGGCAGGAGAGCTCTTTACGCTTCCAACCAAGGATGTCGTGTTAAGCATCACCTTGTGGGAGATTAACAAGTTAAAATGGTTCATGATGTAAGTGACTGGATGGTGGCGTGCATTCAATTTGTACGAAGGAATGCAAAGTAATACGTGAGAAGTGTGAGGCTGTCTACCACCTATTCACGCAAATTAGTTTGGTCAACGCCTGGCCTGTACATAGGATTGCAAATGCCAAGTTGAGCCGAACGATTTCAAATACGCAGTTGTCAAGGCGTGGCTGGAATGCGATAGAAGAATAAGCACTACCCGCAAAAGGAAAAAAAGTTTGTCGGAATAAGAGGTGAAGGTCAAATCGACGGCGGTGTAGGTGCCATTATCATAAGCTAATGAAGGAAAGGAAAGCTGGTGCTAGCAGCTTTACGAAGAGGATTAAGACTCAGTGAACCGACAGTGGAGGGTTTGTCTATATCGACTGCTTCACACTGAACACACATCCTGCTCTGGGCATTAATCTCACCGGAGCAAATTACCGTCGAATCATAAGAGGAAGATGACGATTTGCCGTAGCAATTTTGCCGCTGCGGCTATGGCATTCTTTACGATGTAGCCGCCCTGATTTTGGCACTACAGTATGTTCCACAACTTGACCTGCAAGTCTTCGGCCTTAGGTGGACAAGGAGGTATAACATCTCTAGTATTCCCCATTTATCAGTTCGTGACTGTCTAGTGAACTCTTTGCAAGCAGTCTTACTTTATATTTGTCTGCAACAATAGGAACACCTCATTCTGCACTTTCACAGAAACAGAAACTTGCCAGATCACTGCTGTGAACAAGCAATTGGGAGGGCTATTTGTGATTTGTACTCAAGCATTTCATTCTTTAGCATCGTTTTTTATTGAAAGCACATTTCGACTAAAATCAAGTTGTGGTGCTGAAGACTACAATGTCTGCAATACAGGAAATCTGATCAAAGTTTCGTTTCACTACATAAATTCAACAGGTTTTCCATTGACGCTTGTGTTCCTAAGGGCTTCTCCGAGTAATTCTGTGCGCAGGTCTAGCAGCTCTCCTCCGTCTTCATCGTTAAGAACGAAATGAATGCGAATCCATGAGTCAGGGAGACGTTTCGAGTACATCTGAATCAAGCCAAATCAAGCAAACATCATTCTGCAATGTGATCCGTTGTCTTAGCATGTGGTTCTACGATATGCATCAGATGAAATCGCTTCAAAATACCGCTATGACTTTGGATGGAAGTGAAATTCCTGGCACTCCAGGATGGATCGACGCTAAATCGTTATCTTTTATCCATCACCAGCGTGCTGCCCACCCTGACGTGTGCCTCGTACGGAACTCCGGCAGTTTAAGTCATGTGTCCTCATTGATTAGAGATTCTAGGATGCTGAATGCAATGCGAGAATACGGCAGCTTTGGAGTTTTCTCAATGAAGTGTGCTAATTTTTCATTGGGTTGTGTGAGGAGCTGGAAATTAGCCTAATTGGAACAATCCTTTCGATAAATTGAGAGGTGCTGTAGGGAAAGCGAGGCACGGCGGTCTTTTGAGGTCACTCATTTTTCTTCCTATGGTGGAGCCCAGAAATAAAAAAAAACTATGTCTGCCCTAGCTGTTACCCTTCCTGTATCACACACAGCGAGCATTTGACATCTGCTCGTCTTAAGCCTTTATTCGAATTTCTCAAACAGCCTCCTCAAACTGAATAAATAAGCGTGTTAAACTCCCCATCGTAGGGGGATTATTAAGTTGTGCCCTTGAGCATCTATAAAAACTCTGCGAATACACCTTCTCCATTACCGTGGGGCGAGTGGAAAAGGTGTAAGGCTACTGCAAATATTAGGTTGGAAAGAAAGTCCTGCAACACTTTTTCAAATTTTTGATTTTAATTTTATCTTTTTTGTTTACAACTCCTGACCGGTCATATATCTACCATGAGTGTCCACCACTTGTCTTCAACGCTCAGAAAATTTCTTGATGCTCCTTTTCCAAAACCCAGCGGAGTGCGGGTCGAGAAAGGAGGCGACCTCACTTTCGAGTTGGAGTTGATCGTCTAATTATTTCGTCATCAAGATGATGATTTAAGGTCCAGGATAGGTGGCAGTCATTTATAGCTCGACCAGGGGAATACGCTAAGAGAGGTAAGAAATCTTGCCGCAGCTCCAGAATTTCTTACCGGGCTCATTTCGGATCATGGTGATTCGCAATGTCATGAAAGAACTCGGTCAACTTTTGGAGTTTCGCAGCCTAGACCTCTACCTACACAATGGTGCCCATAACGAAGAATTTGTAGTTTTCCGTAAGAGCCCTACCTGTAATGGAGTGTGCGGGACGCTGCTGGCTTCTTATAAAAATATCAAAAGATCGAAAGCGCTGGTAAAGGTGAAACACGCTGTAGCGGTGAACGACATGCCTATTGAAGCTATTGCAGATAGTGTTGGTCTTTGACACGAATCCATAGTTTGGAGACATTTGTACTAGTCAGTGACTTTTTTGAATTTTCTTGGATAACTACTGACTGCAGCACTTATATCCACCTCGTGGATTGAAGCCTCGAGAATGCTCTACCATTTGTTAGTCATAAATGTTACCTATGAATTTTTCAGAAAAAAAAAAATTTTAGAAAGAGTGTTGCAGAACTTTCTTTCCAACCTAATAGTTAAAATGAAACTAGGAGGAGACACCTTCTGCTCTGGCTTTTGATCACTAAAATTCAAGTAGATAAAAGAGGGCATTCATTACACACCGCGAGCCCAAATTACTATTTCACTAGAAGGAAACACCGCATAAGGTGAGCACAAACCTTGCCGGGAATGGTACATCGCCTGTTACCTTTCAGTACTGTATACAAGAAATTGTTTGTTGTCTCCTTCTCACTGACGAGACTCTGAAAAACAAACAAAGTAATTGGTTCAGATGAGTACTTGACTGTAGCCGTCCAAGATTAGGTAACTTTATTAGGCTAACGTTTCGGCTTCTTCGCCTTCGTCAGAGCCTTGATCAACGCCGCCGTGACGCGAGGGCGACCACCCTCGAAGGACTTAGTTGTGCTTACCTTGCTTGCTTTAAGGACTTAAAGTAATTGGTGAAATAACTTGTTGTGACATCCTTGAATATTTTGGTAATTTGATCTGACGCGCTAAAAGCAGACTCTTAAAACTATCCAAGCACATCGCAGGCTCCAGCTGAGCTGAAATGTCCTCCTCGATGTAATATTCGAGCTTAAGGAGCTCATCCCTAAATTCCTCAGTCGGCAGAACTTTAAAAATTAAAGAGAAGAGTAAGAAATCAGCTTTAACTGTGGCGAGAAGGTGACTTCTTTGCCCTTCCACCGTACATTTCCTACGCAGAAATCACTTTTTTTTGTTACTAACTTAGATTCAGCGTCGGATGTTGCTACGAAAGCAGTCCCAAGAGGATACAGCACTGACCGAATGTGGATTAGAATTTTTTGTATTGGACACTACTACTGCAAATTGATATGTTCACGTGCAATCGCTGACAGAACTAGCTTCAGTCGATTGTTTCGGATTCGTTTATGCCATGTGTGCTAGGTATGATCTGGAAGGATTTTTTCATTCAGCAATCTTCCTCATTCTGTCTGAAAAGTACTGTTTGAGCAATTTTTTCTGTATGTTATAAGTGGTTTTGCCGAAATCGTGCACAACGCAGGCAAAACGCGTCAAACCAGGCGCCCTTTAGAAAAGCCGATATCCCTTATCCTCTGAGCTGGCCTTGAGTTTAATTGTGTAAACGCTGCTGCTGCGATTAAGCAGCCTAAATAGGACTGTCTCACTCCGTTTCTTACCGGGTCTCGTAGCGTTTACATTGCAATATCACCGTATTTCACAATGAGATCGACGTAGTCTTCATCAATTTTGAATTTTCTGTGATGAAGGTTTAAAAAAAGAACGGGATGCAGTTGTGTTCTCATTACGAAGGTGTTTGTGCTTATTCACTAGAAAGTGAAGATTGTTTCAGTTCTCCTTCTCAATTCAGGTCATCCGAAAATGCGACACAACTCATTTTCACTCAAATCAAGAATAGAGCTGAGCTTACACCCATTCATAGGATTGAGTAAAAGCCTTAGCCTAGCCTGAACCCAAAACTACCTTAGACTTCATTACTCGCGCAGTTCTGATGACCTGATCTGGGAAGAGGACTGAACGCTTCCCGAAAGAGAGTGGTCCACCGGGAGCCGGTCGATTCTCAATGAAAGAGAGGAGCCTTTAGTAAATCGATGTCTGGTAGGGGATATGTGTAGATGCGGACTAACTTCGGATGCGGTGGGTGATGCTGGTCTCAGCTCCTCTGTTTGCTCCTGAAAATAGTTGTTTTTGGCTTTACGGCTTACGTTTCAATCTATTTCAAAGTCTACCGAGCCATGGTGTGTACAATAGCAAGACCGCGACCGTGTGCACGAACAACTCCGCCGGCCGCTCATGATACTGGGCGATCTTGACTGACGAGATCTCTGCAAGAACACGTTATACATCCATCTTTCCAATGAAAGGACCCTGCTGCTACAGGGCAAGAACACGTTATACATCCATCTTTCCAATGAAAGGACCCTGCTGCTACAGGGTGGGGCAAAATTACTGGTGCACCTATACGTTTTGAATTTTTTAACACTTCTTGGAGATTTTCCTGTTTCACTCGCTTGTGATATGTTGCCTGGAGGTTGCGTAATTCCTACGTACTCGAATACAAAATGGTCCGTCGTTCTGACCTACGGAGCGCGATCATCAAACTTCACAACGACGGCAAGCAAACAAGAGAAATTGTGAAGATCCTTTCCGTACCTCGAAGGACGGTTCAGAATACAGTACGACGCTATAAAGAACTGAAGACCGAAGAGGACAGGGAAGGAAGAGGACGTCCCACAACAGCTACGAGTCGGAGAAATGTGAGGCTCGTCAGAGAAAGAATTCGAAGGAACGCCAGGAGATCGATGCGCCAGATGGCGAAAGACGTTGGAGTAAGCGCGAGGTCAATGAGGAGGATTGTCAGAAGTAAGCTAAGGAAGTTCCCTATCGCTTGCAGAAATGCCAACTCCTGACGGACATTATGAAGAAAAGGAGATTGGAGAGATGCAAGAAGTTGCTGCAGCGATTCACGGTGGCACGCGCCCGAGACATCGTTTTCAGTGATGAAAAGATTTTACTCTGAATCCAGCCTTCAACTCCCAAAATGAGAGGATTATTGCAGGATCACTTGCTGATGCTACCACCAAGGCAAGACTCCAGGAAAGAGCGAAACACCCCCAGTCCATTCTTGTTTGGGGAGGAGTCACCTCTACGGGGAAGACCCCACTTGTTTTCGTTGAAGCTGGTGTAAAAATCAACGCAGAGGTTTACAAAAATATCCTGGAGGAAGTTCTCAAGCCGTGGGCCAACTCCCATTTCGGAGAAGCCTACTGGTGCTTCCAGCAGGATTCTGCTCCAGCACACAAAGCAAAGATGGTCCAGGAGTGGTGCGCCGAGCACCTGCCCGACTTCATCAGACACGACGAATGGCCCTCCAGTTCTCCTGATCTAAACCCGATGGATTACTCTGTGTGGTCCATCTTGGAGAGCAAAGCGTGTTCTACCAGACATCCAAACTTGGACTCTCTTAAGGCGGCGCTTTCAAAATCTTGGGACGAAATCGATGACCAGTACCTGCGTGCCACATGCGAAGCATTTGTCGAACGTCTGAAGGACTGTGTGAAGGCTAAAGGAGATCATTTTGAGAAGCATTAACATTTTTTGTATTGTCATGTTTGTAGTAAATAATATTGATAATTAGAATTGATTTGTGAGAATTATTGTCAAAATGCCATTGAAAATTTAGTGCACCAGTAATTTTGCCCCACCCTGTATAAGGTTGTCCAGAAAGTATTGCGGGTTTCGATGTGTCATACTTTATTTGCGACATTTTTCGAGAAATTTCGCTTGGCTTGCTGTACTATTGCACATCATTGAAAAGCACCATTTCATTCTCTATTCTTATGCTGCTATTGTATTTTGCAGGGTCTGGTGTCTTAGTTTTTAACACGTTGACGACATCGCGCGTTTTGTGTTTTTGCACCGCGTGGGACAAGAGCGATTTTGCGAGCGCAGCGCCGCCGCACACCAAATCCATGGATTTTGAGCTGTAAATACGCAATACTTAGATGCGATGAAGTGTTTTCAATAATGTTCGATCTGTCTAACTTATCGGGAGTTACAGTAATGGAAGTTTGACCGAAATGACGTGTTAAGGCCATGAAAAGGCAAATTTTACTTACTTTCCCTTTAGTGGTTCCAAAATTAATTTGGACGTGGTTGTTTCAGTAAAAACACATATCTTCCCATACGAATAGGTTTGTATTCACTTCTGTTATTCCTTTTTATCAACATGTTTACGTTAATGAAAAGAAAACGAGGAATGAACTGAACAGACATATCGTAAGGTCTGGAAAACCTCTGCCAAACTAAAGAATATTTGGCCTTTCTGTGAGCCATGTGGTTTTTAAGTATGCTAATGTATGACCTATAGAATGAGTACAAAGACCTTAGGAATAAGTCGCACAAGCGCAAGAAAAAGGGATGACTTGGGTGGGACGCGTTACCGCGTCACA